CGAGTCTATGTGAGGGGTGAGGTCTCAGATTGGCGAGACGTCACAAGTGGAGTCCCGCAGGGGTCAGTCCTTGGACCTATACTGTTTCTGATATATGTAAATGATCTCTCAGAGGGTATAGACTCGTTTCTCTCACTGTATGCTGATGATGCAAAAATTATGAAGAGGATTGAAACCGAGGATGAATATAAGAGGCTATAAGATGACCTAGACAGACTGAATGAATGGTCCAACAAATATTTGCTAAAGTTCAATCCGAGTAAATGCAAAGTAATGAAACTAGGCGGTGGAAACAGGAGGCCAGACACAGGATTCAGAATAGGAGATGAAGTACTTAATGAAACGGACAGAGAGAAGGATCTAGGAGTTGATATCACACCAAACATGTCTCCTGAAGCCCACATAAAAAGAATTACGTCTGCGGCATATGCGAGGCTGGCTAACAACAAAACAGCCATCAGGAACGTGTATAAGGAATCATTCAGAATCGTGTATACCACATATGTAAGACCAATCCAGGAGTATGCAGCCCCAGCATGGAGCCCGTACCTTGTCAAGCACAAGACGAAGCTGGAAAAAGTTCAGAGGTATGCCACTAGACTAGTCCCAGAACTAAGAGGCATGAGTTACGAGGAAAGGCTGCGGGAAATGCACCTTACGACCCTGGAAGACAGAAGAGTAAGGGGAGACATGATCACAACCTACAAAATCCTCAGGGGAATCGACAGGGTAGACAAGGATAAACTATTCAACACTGGTAGTACGCGAACAAGGGGACACAGATGGAAACTGAGTACCCACATGAGCCACAGGGACGTTAGAAAGAACTTTTTCAGTGTCAAAAGTAGTTAACAGGTGGAATGCATTGGGCAGTGATGTGGTGGAGGCTGACTCCATACACAGTTTTAAATGTAGATATGATAGAGCCCAATAGGCTCAGGAATCTGTACACCAGTTGATTGACAGTTGAGAGGCGGGACCAAAGAGCCAGAGCTCAACGTACAAATAGGTGAGTACCCCTATTGCCACCACCACCACCTACCATGCAAGGACTGGGGGGGATACACAGAGATAGGAAGCCATTATCGCCTCGAAGTGGTCTCTATACCCGGGACAAAGCTCACCCATCCAGTTACTGACCCAGGCCAATACCATATAACTATACAAATATCGCAATGCATCACACTGGATCGAAACTATCAATACAACAGATAAGTTGGCCCTTATAAAGTACGTTTTCTGTTAAAGTATGTTTGTAGAAAACTAAACATGCTGGGCTAACTAATATATAATGGTTGCACACTTGATAACGTCTCAGCTATGTATATTACCCTGAGGTTTATGTCATCAGATAATCTTCAGCGAAGACAAGGATGACAAACGCGGTGTGCGCGCTCAATTATTACTCCGGATCAATGGGAGCCGGTCGGCCGAGCGGACAGCACGCTGGACTTGTGATCCTGTGGTCCCGGGTTCGATCCCGGGCGCCGGTGAGAAACAATGGGCAGAGTTTCTTTCACCCTATGCCCCTGTTACCTAGCAGTAAAATAGGTACCTGGGTGTTAGTCAGCTGTCACGGGCTGCTTCCTGGGGGTGGAGGCCTGGTCGAGGACCGGGCCGCGGGGACACTAAAGCCCCGAAATCATCTCAAGATAACCGGAAATCTCATCAATTAATTTGCCCCGGCTTCCTGTTCCCATGGAGGACACTTAGATTTCAGACATGTAAACCTGCTTGATATCTTACGTAGGTAGTAACTAAGTGATTGTAACCTATCCACCGCTGCCCACTGGATGGGGGGCGGTTATCTTGAGATGATTTCGGGGCTTTAGTGTCCCCGCGGCCCGGTCCTCGACCAGGCCTCCACCCCCAGGAAGCAGCCCGTGACAGCTGACTAACTCCCAGGTACCTATTTACTGCTAGGTAACAGGGGCATTCAGGGTGAAAGAAACTTTGCCCATTTGTTTCTGCCTCGTGCGGGAATCGAACCCGCGCCACAGAATTACGAGTCCTGCGCGCTATCCACCAGGCTACGAGGCCCCCTCGTAGCCTGGTATGGAGGCGGTGTGCAGGACAAACATATCAATTGTGACACTATAGCTCTCCACATATGTCAGTTGCTTAATTTAGAAACTGAACTTGTGGTCGATCTCGAACCCATTGTTGATGTGACGACTTATATTGAATTTTGTAACTAGCTCATCAAGATTGTAATTGGCTTAGCTAAATGAATTGTGGGGTTCAGTCCCTGAGCCCATTATGTGCCTCTGTAACCCTTTCCACTACCGCCCACAAGATGGGTATGGGGTGCATGATAAATGAGCTAAACTAACTATCTTACGATAAGCAGGTTACCAAATTGAAATACATGTGAAGTGAATTTACACTGGTTCACGAAAGCACCTACGCAGCCCTTACGAACCTGGGGTCAGATTCACGAAAGCACCTACGCAGCACTTACGAACCTGGGGTCAGATTCACGAAAGCACCTACGCAGCACTTACGAACCTGGGGTCAGATTCACGAAAGCACCTACGCAGCACTTACGAACCTGGGGTCAGATTCACGAAAGCACCTACGCAAGCACTTACGAACCTGGGGTCAGATTCACGAAAGCACCTACGCAAGCACTTACGAACCTGGGGTCAGATTCACGAAAGCACCTACGCAAGCACTTACGAACCTGGGGTCAGATTCACGAAAGCACCTACGCAAGCACTTACGAACCTGGGGTCAGATCTTACGAACCTGGGGCCAGATTCACGAAAGCACCTACGCAAGCACTTACGAACCTGGGGTCAGATTCACGAAAGCACCTACGCAAGCACTTACGAACCTGTACACCTTTTCTCAATCTTTGGCGGCTTTGTTTACAATTATTAAACAGTTAATGAGCTCGGAAGCACCAGGAGGCTGTTTATAACAATAACAACAGTTGATTGGCAAGTTTTCATGCTTGTAAACTGTTTAATAAATGTAACCAAAGCCGTCAAAGATTGAGGGAAGATGTACACGTTCGTAAGTACTTTCGTGAATCTGGCCCCAGGTACTAATTTACTGCTGGGTGAACAGAGGCTGCAGTTAAGGATTGGAGCCCCGTCAATCCTCCCTGGTATAGAAACGAACCCAAGTCAAAGCGTTCGTCAAGCGCCGGGCTTTACCACTACGCCATGGGGGACTGCTAGGGGTTTCCTTTCCCCCTGATGTCTCTTCACCTAGCAGTAAACAGGAGCCGGGACGTTAGCCAGCAGTTGTGGGTTGTATCCTAAGGAAGGTAATTACACATAGGTAATTACACCCTAAGTGTAGTTACAGGATGAGAGCTACGCTCGTGGTGTCCCGTCTTCCCAGCACTCTTTGTCATATAACGCTTTGCAATTACTGACGGTCTTGGCCTCCACCACCTTCTCCCCTAACTTGTTCCAACCGTCTACCACTCTGTTTACAAAAGTGAATTTTCGTATATTTCTCCGGCAGCTTTGTTTCGTGAGTTTAAATCTATGACCGCTTGTTCTTGAAGTTCCGGGTCTCAGGAATTCTTCCCTATCAATTTTATCGAATCCCGTTACTATTTTGAACGTAGTGATCATATCGCGTCTTTTTCTTCTATCCTTCTGTCCTCCTCAAGGTGAGGAGGAGAACTTTGTAAGGTCTATATATATCGGGAAGCCGGTCGGCCGAGCGGACAGCACACTGGACTTGTGATCCTGTGGTCCTGGGTTCGATCCCAGGCGCCGGCGAGAAACAATGGGCAGAGTTTCTTTCACCCTATGCCCCTGTTACCTAGCAGTAAAATAGGTACCTGGGTGTTAGTCAGCTGTCACGGGCTGCTTCCTGGGGGTGGAGGCCTGGTCGAGGACCGGGCCGCGGGGACACTAAAGCCCCGAAATCATCTCAAGATAACCTCAAGATAGGTTAAGTCTACGTCAAAATGCGACGTTCTATTAGACGACAGGTTGCAGCGAGCATGACAACTCTGTTGATATTATACATTACAGGTTACAGTGTGGCGGACGACCAAGAAATACAGCCCGTCCTCCAAGCAAAGGCCAAAGTCCATTCCGTTCACCCGCCAACCCCCTTTTTATGACTGAAAAACGGTTTACACACGACTCACAACTGCTGACGTTCGAACACTTCCGGAACAAGTGCTTCACTGACGACTTGTGTTCGAACCACAATGCTGTAAATGCTTCACCCACGTACTACAAATAATCGCCAACAGAACCTAAACACCTAACCTAACCTATGCCTATATATGCACAATACGCTAAAAAATATTAATATTAATTTATATTTGAGAAAATTCCCTTTTTGAATGAACAGCATACTAAAGTTTATGAATGCGTCTGTGGGGTCGACCGCTGGATGTAATGGACTTGAGGCGAGGACGGGTTGGTGCTGACATATGCTGAAACTCTAGATATTAATTAATGAATATTTTGGATCCTATACCCTTGTTGTGAGCGGCGACGGAGATGGGTCTAAACATTATTAGTTCTCTTATATTAAGAACAAAGATTTTAATAAGCGTCACAGCCTAGATGTCCACTGTGCCGCTCGACAGACTTGTTGGGTCATGAGTCAGCCAATCAGAAGAGTGAATTCATATAATGGGCTGTGAACTAACCAATCAGAGCAGTGCTCAACACTTAGTGGGCCAGCCAGAGACTTAGGGCCCGCGCAGGAATATCCCTTCAAAAAAAAAAAAAAATGTATAGCAGACTCTGCATAGAAATTTTATTAATGTTATTCATTTCCTCCAAGCAACAAGACTTAAAAAAGGGCCTCTTTTAGACAAGTTCTTGCAAGAAGTGCGGGACCAACCAGGCTGTAGTGGATATGTGGGCCAGAGGGCCACTCCAAGCAACAGCCTGTTGGATCAAGTTATCACAAGTAGTAGAACAACTCCCAGAACCCTCTCCAGGTATATGTGTTGCCTGAGGCGCCGCGCAGCACACAAAATATGGAACTGCGACAGTTGAATATGGACGACTTACCTCTTTAATTATATGACACTGTTCGTCCAGGTCGACCAGTGGTTGGACGGAGGGTGGTCGGGTGAGGTAGTAGGTTGCTGCCACCACGGCCGCCGCCGCCACCACCCCGCCCATCAGCGGGGCGTACTCCTCCATCATGCCTGTAGGAGCAGGGAACACATTAGTGTAGGAGCAGGGAACACATTAGTCTCCCATCGCCACCCCACACTCCCTCACAACACCTTAACTCACAATACTCTTGACACAGTTTTGTCAGGGGTTGTACCTACCTGGGTACAAATGGGCAAAGTTTCTTTCACCCTAAGTGCCCCTGTTACCTAGCAGTAAATAGGTACCTGGGTGTTAGTCAGCTGTCACGGGCTGCTTCCTGGGGGTGGAGGCCTGGTCGAGGACCGGGCCGCGGGGACACTAAAGCCCCGAAATCATCTCAAGATAACATCAAGATAACCTGTCAGGTGTGACACGCTTCTGTTTGAAGTCCTCATGTGTCTACCTGTCTGTCTGTATATCTGAGTGACCTGGGTCAGTGTAGATAGCAGCATCTACGACACACTACTTCCCCTAACCTATGGTGCTCGACACTCATTAACTCCAAGATCAACAGCCTTGTTCGTACTTATTCACTGTTTTCACTCGTACAGAGTAATTACTCCATGGGTAACAATGCACACTAGATGAGTTATTATATGGAAGATGAATGTATTTTGGACACGAGTTAGTTTATCTACTGTCTGTTACGATTAGTGTGGGAGTCGAACGGCTCCGCAGGCCGCAACATCACCACCACCACCCGCCACAACACCACCACACCAACACCACCACAACCAACCCGTTCTCGCAAATTCGTATAGTCAATATTGACTTATTAACTACGTGCATAGGTGATATACTAAACATAATAGATACCCTTAAAAAGCTTCATAGAAAACACCGACCTTACCTAACCTTGTGAGTATGTTAAGATAAGCATCTTATTGCTTCGTAATTACAATTATTACTTAACCTATACCTATAATAAGTTAAGTAACAATTTTAATTACGAAGCTATAAGATGCTTATCTTAACATACTAACAAGGTTAGGTAAGGTCGGTGTTTTCTATGAAGCTTTTTAAGGGTATCTATTATGTTTAGTATGTCACCTATGCACTTATTTAATAAGTCAATATTGACTATACGAATTTGCGAGAACGGGTTGCCACAACAACACCACCCGCCACACCAACACCACCACACCAACACCACCCGCCACACCAACACCACCACACCAACACCACCCGCCACACCAACACCACCACACCAACACCACCCGCCACACCAACACCACCACACCAACACCACCCGCCACACCAACACCACCCGCCACACCAACACCACCCACCACCACACCACCACACCAACACCACCACAACAACACCACCCTCACCACCCACCACAACACCACCACAACAACACCACCACCCACCACAACACCACCCACCACCACAACACCACCCACCACAACACCACCCACCACCACAACACCACCCACCACCACACCACCACACCAACACCACCACAACAACACCACCCTCACCACCCACCACAACACCACCACAACAACACCACCACCCGCCACAACACCACCCACCACCACAACACCACCCACCACAACACCACCCACCACCACAACACACCACCCACCACCACACCACCACACCAACACCACCACAACAACACCACCCTCACCACCCACCACAACACCACCACAACAACACCACCACCCACCACAACACCACCCACCACCACACCACCACCTGCCACAACACCACAACACCACCACACCAACACCACCACCCACCACCACCACCCTCACCACCCACCACAACACCACCACCACCCGCCACCACACTACCAGCCCACACACACACAATAATCAACAAAATCCTATTGTGAATCAGGCTTATAATCACTCTCGCCCTCCGGCCGGATAGACATCACTTGAACAATCGCTATCCGGCAGTTTCCAGAGGTGACCTTCGCCGCGCCCTGTGGTAATGTAAAATGCAACTGGGCATACCACTGCCCTGTGGTATGCCACTGTGTATGTGTATATACACAGTGGTATGTATATACATATGCACTCTCTCCCAAGACATGGAGAAGCAATTGGGTTATCTTGAGATGATTTCGGGGCTTAGCGTCCTCGCGGCCCGGTCCTCGACCAGGCCTCCTTTCTGTTACACACCCCAGGAAGCAGCCCGTAGCAGCTGTCTAACTCCCAGGTACCTATTTACTGCTAGGTGAGCAGGCGCATCAGGGGTGAAAGAAACTATACCCATTTGTTTCCACCGGGGATCGAACCCGGAGCCTCAGGACTACGATTCCCGAGTGCTGTCTACTCAGCTGTCAGGCCCCTGCTTGAGGGGCCGTCCTCACTTGTGAGGTTCGGCCTCCTACTCCTGGGGTCCGTGGTTCGAGTCTGCTAGAGCCCAGGTGACTGGAGAGTTAGACGACTGTTTGACAGCGCTAAAGCACTACACATCAAACACTCTGATCCACCTTGGAGGTAGGTGGAACTAGCCAAGATGCCCTGAAGCCCCAGTTTCCCCCGACACCGTTGCCCTCTCCCCAGGACCAGTACCCACACCCCTCCCATCCCCCAGTACCTCCCCAGGAACAGTCACTACCCCCCCATCCCCCAGTATCACCTGCAGAAGATGAAGGTCGCAGGTGGGGAAGCCTTACGCCTCCAGGTCAAATCGCCAATACTTACTTACCTTGGCTGCTGCTGCTGTTCCTGCTGCTGCTGCTGTTCCTGCTGCTGCTGTTCCTGCTGCTGCTCCTGCCAGTGTTCCGGTAGGAGCAGCACCTCCTTACACCATCACCTTCCCCCCCCCCACACAAAAGGTAAGCAAAACCTTGGATTGGAGGCAAATTTGCTAATAACTAATGTGAGCAACTCACGCTAACATTAGCACTAATACAGCGTAGTTTAATTCCACTTTTTCAGACGATTGTGAATGTCAGGAATGACTTTGCTGCTTCGTTGTTCAGTAGGCCTACTGCCTTCTTCCTAATGGGTGGCATGTCTACATGATCTTGGGTCGACTCACACTGAATTACCCACACCAGGGGTCAGGGGGCATGACACTGCTGTACCCACACCAGGGGTCAGAGGGGGAGGACACTGCTGTACCCACACCAGGGGTCAGGGGGCAGGACACTGCTGTACCCACACCAGGGGTCAGAGGGGAGGACACTGCTGTACCCACACCAGGGGTCAGAGGGGGAGGACACTGCTGTACCCACACCAGGGGTCAGAGGGGGAGGACACTGATGTACCCACACCAGGAGTCAGGGGGGAGGACACTGCTGTACCCACACCAGGGGGGAGGACACTTCTGTACCCACACCAGGAGTCAGGGGGCTGGACACTGCTGTACCCACACCAGGGGTCAGAGGGGGAGGACACTGCTGTACCCACACCAGGAGTCAGGGGGCTGGACACTGCTGTACCCACACCAGGAGTCAGGGGGGAGGACACTGCTGTACCCACACCAGGAGTCAGGGGGCTGGACACTGCTGTACCCACACCAGGGGTCAGAGGGGGAGGACACTGCTGTACCCACACCAGGGGTCAGAGGGGGAGGACACTGCTGTACCCACACCAGGGGTCAGAGGGGGAGGACACTGCTGTACCCACACCAGGAGTCAGGGGGCAGGACACTGCTGTACCCACACCAGGGGTCAGGGGGCAGGACACTGCTGTACCCACACCAGGAGTCAGGGGGCTGGACACTGCTGTACCCACACCAGGGGTCAGAGGGGGAGGACACTGCTGTACCCACACCAGGAGTCAGGGGGCAGGACACTGCTGTACCCACACCAGGGGTCAGAGGGGGAGGACACTGCTGTACCCACACCAGGGGTCAGAGGGGGAGGACACTGCTGTACCCACACCAGGAGTCAGGGGGCAGGACACTGCTGTACCCACACCAGGGGTCAGAGGGGGAGGACACTGCTGTACCCACACCAGGAGTCAGGGGGCAGGACACTGCTGTACCCACACTAGGGGTCAGAGGGGGAGGACACTGCTGTACCCACACCAGGAGTCAGGGGGCTGGACACTGCTGTACCCACACCAGGAGTCAGGGGGCAGGACACTGCTGTACCCACACCAGGGGTCAGAGGGGGAGGACACTGCTGTACCCACACCAGGAGTCAGGGGGCAGGACACTGCTGTACCCACACCAGGGGTCAGAGGGGGAGGACACTGCTGTACCCACACCAGGAGTCAGGGGGCTGGACACTGCTGTACCCACACCAGGAGTCAGGGGGCAGGACACTGCTGTACCCACACCAGGGGTCAGAGGGGGAGGACACTGCTGTACCCACACCAGGAGTCAGGGGGGAGGACACTGCTGTACCCACACCAGGGGTCAGGGGGCAGGACACTGCTGTACCCACACCAGGGGGTAGGACACTGCTGTACCCACACCAGGGGTCAGGGAGGAGGACACTGCTGTACCCACACCAGGGGGTAGGACACTGCTGTACCCACACCAGGGGTCAGGGAGGAGGACACTGCTGTACCCACACCAGGGGGCTGGACACTGCTGTACCCACACCAGGGGTCAGGGAGGAGGACACTGCTGTACCCACACCAGGGGGCAGGACACTGCTGTACCCACACCAGGAGTCAGGGGGGAGGACACTGCTGTACCCACACCAGGGGGCAGGGGGCAGGACACTGCTGTACCCACACCAGGAGGCAGGGGGCAGAACACTGCTGTACCCACACCAGGAGTCAGGGGGGAGGACACTGCTGTACCCACACCAGGGGGCAGGGGGCAGGACACTGCTGTACCCACACCAGGGGGCAGGGGGGCCAGGACATGGCTGAGAGCACCAGAAGACAGGAGACAGCCATACCCAGAGAGGATATCAACAATGAATGTGAGTTGACCCTAAATCAGTACAATGATACGTTAATATCCGGATTAGGGGGCCACTCCACAGTCACTACCAAGGGCGAATGGACAGACTGACGCGCCTCCTGTCAGATATCTTGGACAGTCTGGGGTATATCTTAGTTTGGGATATGTTATTCTGTGTTTCAGAGGAAGGAAAAGATAGCGGACAATGGTAAATATTTATTGTAGAGATTTATGATTGGGCGATTGGATATCATCCAATCAAAATGATATGCCTGTGTAATGTTTTGTATCCCTTACCCCATGTGAAGCGGTCGTTGACGGCTGGCCTCTAGTTCTCCAGCATTGTGGATAACCCAGCGGTGTTTCAGTGACCAATGTCAGTGTGTTCAGACCATATCTAGCCACCAGGCGGTGAAGCTTAGTTCCATGGATGTCTTCGCGGATTTTCTTAGCCGTTGATGGCGCACCTTCACGTTGCCAGGTGATTGATTGATGAAGATTAAGCCACCCAAAAGGTGGCACGGGCATGAATAGCCCGTAAGTGGTGGCCCTTTTGAGCCATTACCAGTATCAATAGATGATACTGGAGATCTGTGGAGGTGCGACTGCACCCTGCGTGACGGGAGATGTCTCTCGTGTGTTGCCAGGGATGCTGGGACTGTCGCCGTATCAGATCGTAGCGGAACGTCGCATGAGTGTCCATGGTTATCTTGAGGTTATCTTGAGATGATTTCGAGGCTTTAGTGTCCCCGCGGCCCGGTCCTCGACCAGGCCTCCACCCCCAGGAAGCAGCCCGTGACAGCTGACTAACACCCAGGTACCCATTTTACTGCTAGGTAACAGGGGCATAGGGTGAAAGAAACTCTGCCCATTGTTTCTCGCCGGCGCCTGGGATCGAACCCGGGACCACAGGATCACAAGCCCAGCGTGCTGTCCGCTCGGCCGACCGGCTCCCTTTGTGCGCCCTTTGAATTTCCCGACGATCTGTTGCTGCGTCACTTAGGGAAGTTTGGGCGTGTGTTACACGTTGGCAAGAATGTGATTTCATCTGGCCAGCTGAAGGGCGTACCGAATGAGACGAGGACGTTGACTATGCGACTTACGGATGCCATCATCTTCGGTGATGCTGATGGGATTCGACATCCACGTACCTGGTTTCAGGTGTCGCTTGTCGAAGCACCTGGCTGCAGTGTGCCATGCAGGCCTCGTGGAACGTGTCAGTCTCTTCAAGGAGGAGAATTTCCTCCCTCTGGGGGACCTGGAGGGTCCTGTGCATGCAGCTGTAGGGGGTGGGTGCTCTCCCTGAGGGCTTTGAGGCTGGGGATCCTACTCCGCGCCCTCCTGCGGGTGTTGGGCCGCCGGGTGGTGGTTGCTCCGGTTGCTCTGGATTCCCATGCTCCCGGTGGGGCGAGTGTGGTGGAGGTGGATAGTTCGGATGACCTGCGTCCTAATCGGAAGTGTACGAGGAGGTCTCTCAGTTGGCCTCCCATGGTGGTGTCGCCTGGGCGGACGTGAGAGAATATGGGGCTTCAGTGTCTTGCGAGGAAGATGTTGATGGAGTGCCCGGGGCTCCTGTGGTGGATGTGCCTGTGGCGGTGCGGGATCCTGGTGTGGGGGGCCTCGATGCCTGCTCCTGCCTTCCCCCGCCACCTCTGGGCTCTCCCCCGCCACCCCGGGCTCTCCCCCGCCACCCCGGGCTCTCCCCAGCCACCCCGGGCTCTCCCCCGCCACCCCGGGCTCTCCCCCGCCACCCCGGGCTCTCCCCCGCCACCCCGGGCTCTCCCCCGCCACCCCTGGCTCTCTTTTTCCCCCGCCACCCCGGGCTCTCCCCCGCCACCCCGGGCTCTCCCCCGCCACCCCGGGCTCTCCCCCGCCACCCCGGGCTCTCCCCCGCCACCCCGGGCTCTCCCCCGCCACCCCGGGCTCTCCCCCGCCACCCCTGGCTCTCCCCCAACCACCCCGGGCTCTCCCCCGCCACCCCTGGCTCCCCCGCCACCCGGGCTCTCTTTTTCCCCCCGCCACCCCGGGCTCTCCCCAGCCACCCCGGGCTCTCCCCAGCCACCCCGGGCTCTCCCCCGCCACCCCTGGCTCTCTTTTTCCCCCGCCACCCCGGGCTCTCCCCCGCCACCCCGGGCTCTCCCCCGCCACCCCGGGCTCTCCCCCGCCACCCCGGGCTCTCCCCCGCCACCCCGGGCTCTCCCCCGCCACCCCTGGCTCTCTCCCGCCACCCCTGGCTCTCCCCCGCCACCCCTGGCTCTCCCCCGCCACCCCTGGCTCTCCCCAACCACCCCGGGCTCTCCCCCAACCACCCCGGGCTCTCCCCCAGCCACCCCTGGCTCCCCCGCCACCCCGGGCTCTCTTTTTCCCCCCGCCACCCCGGGCTCTCCCCAGCCACCCCTGGCTCTCTTTTTCCCCCGCCACCCCGGGCTCTCCGCCGCCACCCCTGGCTCTTTTTCCCCCGCCACCCCGGGCTCTCCCCCGCCACCCCGGGCTCTCCCCCGCCACCCCTGGCTCTCTTTTTCCCCCGCCACCCCTGGCTCTCCCCCGCCACCCGGGCTCTCCCCCGCCACCCCTGGCTCTCCCCCGCCACCCCGCCACCCCGGGCTCTCCCCCGCCACCCCGGGCTCTCCCCCGCCACCCCGGGCTCTTTTTCCCCCGCCACCCCTGGCTCTTTTTCCCCCGCCACCCCGGGCTCTCCCCCGCCACCCCGGGCTCTCCCCCGCCACCCCGGGCTCTCCCCCGCCACCCCGGGCTCTCCCCCGCCACCCCGGGCTCTCCCCCGCCACCCCTGGCTCTCTTTTTCCCCCGCCACCCCTGGCTCTCCCCCGCCACCCGGGCTCTCCCCCGCCACCCCGCCACCCCTGGCTCTCCCCCGCCACCCCGGGCTCTCCCCCGCCACCCCGGGCTCTCCCCCGCCACCCCTGGCTCTTTTTCCCCCGCCACCCCGGGCTCTCCCCCGCCACCCCGGGCTCTCCCCCGCCACCCCGGGCTACAGACTAGACACAAGGACCATACTGAACACGACGCCCGTGACCCATCAGGTGTACGCTTTTATCTTACGTGAGGCGTGCAGGTTGGTGTTGGCGTGCGTGGGTGCGAGGGCGTGCTTGGATGCTAAGGCGTGCGTGGGTGCGAGGGCGTGCTTGGATGCTAAGGCGTGCGTGGGTGTGAGGGCGTGCGTGGGTGGGTGTGAGGGCGTGCTTGGATGCTAAGGCATGCGTGGCTTAAGGGCATGCATGAATGTGAGGGCGCGCGTGGGTGGGTGTGAGGAAGGGCGTGGGCGGGTGTGAGGAAGGGCGTGGGCGGGTGTGAGGAAGGGCGTGGGCGCGCGCGAGGGCGTGAGGGAGCGCGCGCGAGCATGCAAGGGAGCGCGCGAGGGCGCGAGAGCGAGAGGGAGCGCGCGCGAGGGCGAGAGGGAGCGCGCGCGAGGGCGAGAGGGAGCGCGCGCGAGGGCGAGAGGGAGCGCGCGCGAGGGCGAGAGGGAGCGCGCGCGAGGGCGTGAGGGAGCGCGCGAGGGCGTGAGGGAGCGTGCGAGGGCGTGAGGGAGCGCGCGAGGGCGTGAGGGAGCGCGCGAGGGAGCGAGGGAGCGCGCGAGGGCGCGCGTGAGGGAGCGCGCGAGGGCGTGAGGGAGCGCGCGAGGGCGTGAGGGAGCGCGCGAGGGCGTGAGGGAGCGCGCGAGGGCGTGAGGGAGCGCGCGAGGGCGTGAGGGAGCGCGCGAGGGCATGAGGGAGGGCGCGAGGGAGCGCGCGAGGGCATGAGGGAGGGCGGGAGGGTGTGGACAAAGGTATCGGTGTGTACTGTTACGGAGAATCGTCATGAAATCCAAGACCCACATGCTATTTCATGCTCCACGTAAGTAGGAAGGCACCATGCAGGGTTTATCATGCTTCCTAGTCCGACGCACATACACAGATTGACTGTTTAGAGACGGAACCAAAGAGCCGAAGCTCAACCCTCGCAAACACAACTAGGTGAGTATACACACACACACTGGGATTCAACAACTAGTGGACCCACAAGCCCTCACACTCCACGGATGTTATAACATTACACAAACATCGTCCAGCACTAGGCTAGCCCGGACCTTATTAACATTACACAAACATCGTCCAGCACTAGGCTAGCCCGGACCTTATTAACATTACACAAACATCGTCCAGCACTAGGCTAGCCCGGACCTTATTAACACTACACAAACATCGTCCAGCACTAGGCTAGCCCGGACCTTATTAACATTACACAAACATCGTCCAGCACTAGGCTAGCCCGGACCTTATTAACACTACACAAACATCGTCCAGCACTAGGCTAGCCCGGACCTTATTAACACTACACAAACATCGTCCAGCACTAGGCTAGCCCGGACCTAAACTAAGATGGTCCCGTCACTGAAGCAGCAAGGCGCCCAAAGGATCAGGCAAGTAATACCTAGAGCTGCGTAGCAAGGAAGTCCACCACCGTGTATAATAACATTACTTGCTCAACCTCGAGTCTCTCTTACTTTTAGGTTTCACTTGGGCAAGTGGAGGCAGGTGTTTGAGGGCGTAGCCAGCCTGCTGGAGTGTCATCCCCGCCCCCTCTAGTGCATTGCCGGCTATCTCGGCCGCTTCCCTGGCTGGCTTCGATGACGCTGCCTTCCTCGCCACGCCCACTGCATCCCCCGTAGCTGCACGTAATGCACTCTCTGCACTACTAAGCACAGCAGCCGTGAATTGTCCTACGGCGCCTGTTGCTGCTGCTGCTGCACCCAGAGCGTCGTCTACCCCGTGTGGAGCAGCGGCTGCCAGCTTCACCCGGGAGACACTTTCCACAATACAGCTCATGATTAGCACACTTTAACCAGTTCACTAGGCACTTTGTTCTCTCAGCCCTGAAAATTGAAAACATTGTTAAGTGCTTCCGAGGACCATCCGGTCGAGAAGACATCACATTAACACCCTGCAAGTGTTGAAAACGTGCGTACGAGTCCATTAGCGAGTCAACACTCGGTGCTCCTATAAAATGTATACCAAACACAGCGTGTGATACAACACCAGTACACACATCCCTGTATATACAGCACGTATCTGTCCCAGTACATACCTAGGTACCCATTTGTTTCGGCCCACACCTACAGTACCTACGTTGAGCGTTACCTCATAGCTGGCGGAGGAGAGCTCAGACAGGATGGGGGGTGGGGGCAAGTCATGGGAGGAAGCATTGGGGTGTGGTGGAGGAAGAGGGTAGAGGCAGGGGGTGGAGAAGGGCCTCTGGGTGGATAGTGGGTGGATAGACATGATTCCAGGAAGAGTTTGGCATGAAGCTGGTGGCTTAGGAGAGCAGAAGGATGGAGGTGGCAGGGGATGGACGAGGCAGGGGGTGGACGAGGCAGGGGGTGGACGAGGCAGGGGGTGGACGAGGCAGGGGGTGGACGAGGCAGGGGGTGGACGAGGCAGGGTACATTCGACAAAGCTTGTTTTTTCATTGTCAAAACCATACATATGGTTAGGTTAGGGCGTATTAGTGTAGGTTAGACTGCTAATCTCCTTTGGGGGCTGTGACAAATCTGTTGGGTTAGATTTGGTTAGTTCGGGTAAGGTTAGGAAGGTTTTAAAATACCTTAGCGAACCGTCTTGTGTGTGATGTGGGATCCATCCATCCATCTATCTCCTCCTCCGCCCTTTCTCTCAGAAAATATATTAATAAGTACGAGTCTAACAAAAAACAATTATTCACTTATAACAATAAAAATCTCCAAGTTAATCACACGCCATATGTTATATTAGACCCCCATGAAAAAGACCTAGAGGGTGTTCATAATTGCTAATATTTTTTAATAGCATTTAACGTAGGCCTACCTAAACCAGACTAATGCATACCTGCCCCTTACCCCAGACTTCTATAGTATAGATGCGTTTTGGCTGTGAACACGAAGGTTGGGGGGGAGTCGGTGGGGGGTTTGATTGTGGGAGGGAGTATGATTGTGGGTGGGAAGGGTGGGGGTTTGATTGTGGGTGGGGAGTATGATTGTGGGTGGGGAGTATGATTGTGGGTGGGGAGTATGATTGTGGGTGGGAGGGGTGGGGGTATGATTGTGTGTGGGAGGGGTGGGGGTATGATTGTAGGAGTGAGAGGTGGGGGTTGTAATTGAAACAAGTTTATTGGGGTATAAATTTTATTAACATCTTTACTGACAAAGGGACGAGGTAACTCAAGCTATTCTCACCCCGTTGGAGGGGTGGAGTGTCCTGCTGGGTATGGAAGGTATTGTGTGTGTGTGAATGGGTGATGGGGCGTCATGGTGGGGTGTCCAGTGTTGGGGAGAATGGGTGTCCAGGTGGGAAAATGGGCGGAGGGTAGACCTCTGCATGGCGGTGTCGGGTTTTCTTTGGGGGTCACTCAACTTTAAATGGCAAAATTGGTCACGATCTCTATTTCCGCTGCAAGTGTTCTTGCGGCTTCTGTGATGGTTATATGGAATGATGGTAGGGGTGAGGGAGGGGTGTTGGTGGGTGGGGGGGTTGAAGGTGGGGAGGGTGGGTATTCGTTGGAGGTGGTGAATGCGGGGGTGGGGGTGTTGTTATGGGGTTGTGGTGAAGGCAGCAGGGTTGTGGTGAAGGCAGCAGGGGTGTGGTGAAGGCAGCAGGGTTGTGGTGAAGGCAGCAGGGTTGTGGTGAAGGCAGCAGGGGTGTGGTGAAGGCAGCAGGGTTGTGGTGAAGGCAGCAGGGTTGTGGTGAAGGCAGCAGGGTTGTGGTGAAGGCAGCAGGGTTGTGGTGAAGGCAGCAGGGGTGTGGTGAAGGCAGCAGGGTTGTGGTGAGGCAGCAGGGTTGTGGTGAAGGCAGCAGGGTTGTGGTGAAGGCAGCAGGGTTGTGGTGAAGGCAGCAGGGGTGTGGTGAAGGCAGCAGGGTTGTGGTGAGGCAGCAGGGTTGTGGTGAGGCAGCAGGGTTGTGGTGAAGGCAACAGGGTTGTGGTGAGGCAGCAGGGTTGTGGTGAAGGCAGCAGGGGTGTGGTGAAGGCAGCAGGGTTGTGGTGAAGGCAGCAGGGGTGTGGCGATGAGAAGGGAATTGTTTCCTACTTGTCAAAAGCCCCAGTTCAATATCTAATACTTTTTGACAGGCTAGAAAAATGCAATTTTTGACTAGTGTCATATTTTGGTGATCTTGTCACTAAATATTGTCAAGTTTGCCGAGCATGACTTTTCCATATTAAAAGCATGTTATTTATTCCAAATTGTATCCATCCCAGGCACTCCATTCTTCACTTCCAGGAAGTGAATACTTTCAAAGTACTTTATCAGTACTTTGGAAGGAATACACCTTAGTAACACGGTCAATAATATCATACTTCGAAGCCTTGAATAGCCAGATTGCATTTGCCACTATGCAACCCGTTCTCGCACTTGCTTATAGTCAATATTGGCTTATTTAATAAGTGCATATGTGACATACTAATTGATTGTGAATATTTTAGTTTACCTTGAAAAGCTTCATAGAAAATACCGACCTGCTTATCATACTAAGAAGGTTAGGTGAGGTCGGTGTTTTCTATGAAGCTTTACAAGGTAAACTAAAATATTTACAATCAATTAGTATGTCACAAATGCACTTATTAAATAAGCCAATATTGACTAAAGCAAGTGTGAGAACGGGTTGCACTATACACACTTCTCAAAGGTCTCTGGTCAGTCTCTAGTGTTTTATTAAAAATCTGTGTTAGTGGATGACGGCTGAGTGGACAACGCTTGGGATTTGTTGTCCTAAAGTTCCGGGTTCGATCTCCGGGCCCTAGGATTACGAGTACCGGGCGTTGTCTACTCAGCCACCCAGCCCCTTAAAACTTGCTCCCTTGTCGCCTCAGCCTCATTATATCATCTCTTAAAGTTGCTTTCCTCCATATGTGGCTAAGTAACAGCTTTGGGCAGTCATTTATGATTATTTTATCTTTAAATTACAACTCTGCTGCTAACTAATTCTGATGTACTCATTTCAAAGTTCTCTTCTTTTTTCATGCCTTTTTAATCCTGGACGTCTGTTCCCTGCATTATCTAGTGAAACAAGGGGTAGCTTTGAACAAAATATATACTGTATAGCCCACTATATATATATATTATATATATATAAAGTTTCCAACGCTACCTTTCTTACTTACCCACTAAAAACAACTTTTGCCCTGAGTGGGGTCCATTGTTCTCTAACACCTTCACTAGATACATATTTAATCGTAATACTTGTCACTTCCCCGTCTAATTCTTTATACGGCTGTCCTTGTGGCACTCATGCCTGCAGAAATGACTCATGAAAGTTGCTTTATAACTATCTATAGTCGTGAATAGATAATCGTGGAAAAGACCAGTTGGTAACTCACGCATTGATATTCGGACTTTCCCGCCCGAGGAAGGAGGAGCATTCAGATGACCTGGAGACCGGAGTGAGGCAACACGCTGCCCTTTCCTCTCTCTCTCTCCCACCCTCCCCATGTAAACTGTTGTATGTAACAGTATAACCTACGCATGGTCAGTGTGCTGGTGTAAGCACAGTATTTGGCCCGTGTTTGTTTGCTTCAAACTTGCATTGTTGTTTAATTTTCGCTATTTGGAACAGGGGCCAGATTCACGAAAGGACTTACGCAAGCACTTACGAACGTTTACATCTTTCCTCAATCTTTGACGGCTTTGGTTACATTTATTAAACAGTTTACAAGCATGAAAACGTCTCATTTAACTGTTATTGTTATAAACAGCCTCCTGGTGCTTCGGAGCTCATTAACTTTAATAATTGTAAACAAAGCCGCCAAAGATTGAGAAAAGATGTACAGGTTCGTAAGTGCTAGTAGGATCTCGGCAGTACAGTTGGGTTCGGTCTTGATTCACAATCGAGAATTTCGTGATGAAATCACCGGAGGGACAGGAACAGTTTGGCATGTTTCCTTGCACCTAACACCTCTGTTCACCTAGCAGTAAATAGGTACCCGGAAGTTGAGTTATCTGAAGTTGGGTTGCATCCTGGGAAGGGTCAGTAATTCTTGAGGTTATCTTGAGATGATTTCGGGGCTTTAGTGTCTCCGCGGCCCGGTCCTCGACCAGGCCTCCACCCCCAGGAAGCAGCCCGTGACAGCTGACTAACTCCCAGGTACCTATTTACTGCTAGGTAACAGGGGCATTCAGGGTGAAAGAAACTTTTGCCCATTTGTTTCTGCCTCGTGCGGGAATCGAACCCGCGCCACAGAATTACGAGTCCTGCGCGCTATCCACCAGGCTACGAGGCTCCCACTTCGTACCTAGAGATGTGTGATTTCTTGCTTGTGAAGTGTAGACTTAATGTGTTGTGGTAAAATCCATGTGTCACTACAAGGATTTAAATTCCTATCTACAATTTAACAAGGATTAGCCTAACCAGAAACTTGCAAACCTAAGCAACCCACCTAACCTACCGAGTTATAGAAAACACGAAGGAGCCGTTACTCTTCATAGTACTTTGTAATTTATACGTTGGGGACCATTAAAAATGAGATGTACTAGTCGAGAGGACGAGTTAGTGTGTATGTGTTGCACCACACAACCACCCCCCAACCTGCAACATATGCGTTTATGGAAGGTTCGCTTGCACAACCACATTATGGTTGCACAACCATATGCACAACCATTATGCACAGTTGCATTATGCACAACCACATTATATGGCAGATACAATAGTATCTGCCCGAAACGCTTTGCGTAATAGTGGCTTTAGGCATTGTATGTACTAGCTCTATCTATAAAGCCAACAAACTTTGTAAAATCTCTTTATGTATGTACCTTTACCTAAATAAATATTATTATTATTATTTATATAGCTATTCACTCTACTAGTTTAACTGATTTATATATTCATCAAAACGTTCACAAAAGCCTGA